GCGATGCCATCGCCATCGCCGGCACTTGGCTTCTTCCTCTGACTTTCTTGGACGGCGATAAGACACCATAGGAAAAATAAAGGAAAAGTCTCTGTTTGAAGGGGCGCTTTAGGGAAACACCAGTTCTTTAGCGCCTCATGTAATTTTCCCTCCAGTATATATTTCCACTGTCCTTAACATACAACTCTATTATTGTTATTGTTGCTATTATTGCATCTATTGGACTCTATTTTAGTATGTCGTGGCTCTTTTGAATCAATTCACAAAGTTTTTAATATATTTTTTGACTTCAGCTGTAACCTTAAGCCCAATTCTAGCAAAATCAATATTTAGCAGTTTTCTGTAATCTGTCCAAGTCTATTTACACAAGAAAGTGTTCTTTCCATTACTGCATTTAAGCACATAATAAATTCCACAAGTTTTAAGAAACTGAGTGAACCAGTATTGGAAGACAGAACTTCCTAATACAAGACTACCGAGGCATCAGCTCTGCTGAATCTCTCTGTACGAAATCTTCTTCAGGCAAACAATCTGTAGTCAGTTTTTTGTTGAGTTTCAGTCCTTCAGCAATGTTTAGGATTTCCGGAAAAGCCAACATTTTTTTCCCTAGGGAAAGTGACTGAATCAGGTTAAGCTTGCTTGCTGAAATCAGCTATTTTGAAACCAATGTGTATCACTGAGTGAAGTCTTCCCATTTTCTTCTGTTTTGCTCTGATATGCTTTCTAGATTCGTTACATTCATAACCAGACAATTTCTCATTAGTCCTTTTTTCTAACTTACCATTCCCTATTGCATCATCATAAACCTGAGTGCATACACATTCACTTTCAGTTTAAGGGCTGTATCATAGCATATTTTTTGCACTTTGTGGAAGTTTAAAATTTAGTTTAAAATCTAGGGAAAGTGACTGAATCAGGTTAAGCTTGCTTGCTGAAATCAGCTATTTTGAAACCAATGTGTATCACTGAGTGAAGTCTTCCCATTTTCTTCTGTTTTGCTCTGATATGCTTTCTAGATTCGTTACATTCATAACCAGACAATTTCTCATTAGTCCTTTTTTCTAACTTACCATTCCCTATTGCATCATCATAAACCTGAGTGCATACACATTCACTTTCAGTTTAAGGGCTGTATCATAGCATATTTTTTGCACTTTGTGGAAGTTTAAAATAGTTTAAAATTTAGTTTCTGCAGCTGACTTTTCAAACCCTCCATCTTTAGCTTTCAGGCCCTCGGACAATCCTGACCTGGTGTACCTGCCTTTATCCGCGACTTGGGGGCTAGTGCTCAACCTCCCCTTGTTTCAGGGTTAATACAATGACATGTTCACCTTTAAATGTTTGGTATTCTTGCAAATGAAAAAATGATTTAAAACGTCTTTTCCACAAGTTCTAAGGTGAAATGCTAATCTTCTTATAGCCCCCTTTGCTGTATTTTGCAGCCTGGAACCTGGACATTTAGCTAGAAGTAAAGTGATTTTCATTTCTCTTTAGTCTGTAAACATGAGGTTAAGGCTAGTATTACCAAAGGCAAATGATGGTGCATGGTTAAAGTTCAGAGCACTCAGTTTATTGTTTCTTGGAAATTATTGAATGGATAATAGAATTATTCCCCCTTTCAGTAATTACTGAAGCATCAGTGGGCACAGAGGGAAAAACACCCCTCTTAATCAAATCTTTAATCACTTCACAATGCAAAGAGGAGACAACAGGCTACTCATGATGCACAAAACTGGCTTCCCCCACCAAGACTTAGCTCTTGGAAAAAAATACTGTTAGATTTGCTGTAGTCTCTGCTAATAATTGCAGAACGCTCCCATAGCTTCAGCAGGCACCTTGCCATCTTCTGTATGGCCAAACACTTCCGCCCTGTTGTGAGCTTTCTGCTTAGAAGCTTCGCTAGAGTTATTTTTATGATTCCCTCTGTTTCGCCCTGCCACGCATCTGACAGCTCATGCCGGGCAACTGGGGAGCTCGCGCGTAATCGGCCCTAAACCTCGCAGCGATGATCGCTGAGCCTTGTAAGCCCACTCCTCGGCTGCGCCAGGAAGCGCAAAGTGGCTTCTCTTCAGGAAGTGGACCGCAACTTGCGGGTGCAACGTTGCCCTGGTAGCCCCCTCCCAAGCCTGGGCACAGGCCGGTTGGGGGTGTAATTTGAGGTCTATCTACATACGGCCTACGAAGACGCATCTGCGCATAACTAAGAGTCACAGCTTAGGTTGTGACCGTCGTTTCTGCTGCTTCTCCTTTGTACCTGGCGCACGCCCCAGGCGTGGTGCATCGTGACAGACGAGGGCATGACAGCTACATGGGAAAAGCAATCGGTAGCGCGTTGGGTTTCCGGAGTCATGCTGTCTGCAGCGTTTTAGGTAAACTACAGGTATTCTGGCAGTACTGTTCAAGCAAATTCTCTGTAATCTTCAGCAGCTAGAGCCGTTCCTGGCTCCACGGCGGTGCTGCGAGGGCTCGTGCGGGGGAGCTCGGGGCAGGGTCGGGCC